GTTCCCTACCCATCACCTTCGAGAGAGAGCAGAGTCTGCCCCTCCAGCCTATGCCTCACTGCAAGGGCATCTGAGCACCGTTCCTCTGCATCTACAAGTCACGGGAAGCATGAGGGAGAAGAAACACTAAATCGCCGAGATCAGATATTGCAGCTTGAAGTTATCCTCTGCTGGCTTCATTTACAATAAGGCCTATATCAAAGGAAGGCAGGCTCACAGTAAGAGAGGACTGGGAATTAGATGTGCTGATATGCTTTCCTTTCTGTCAAAGGCCCGAGGTCCAGGCGCTGCTGGAGGGGCCAGCACTGGCCAGACACCACCAGCTCCCCTGGGTACCGTTAGGAAAGCCATTCCCTTCCCTGCTCCTTTTTCACTTGCCAGGGCTTTTTACACAGGCACTGCTCAGACCCGTCCTGGCTCAGCCTGCCTCTCCCCAAATAGAAAAGGAAAATCATCTGGTTTATTTTATAGCATTTTTGGAAGAGAAAAATTGGGTGGGTTTTTTTTGGTTTTGTTCTGGTTTTGTTTTGTTTTTTTGTTGGTTTTTTTTTTTACTTAGACAAAACTGCCAAGAGACCCAAGAAAGCCTCACGAAAACACCTGAGGAAAGATCTGAAATGCGGGAAGGGCAGTAATCTACTCTGAGATTAGCCCTCCAAATCCACGAGCCCTCCTGAACATAACATCTATGTCAGCCTCTCAATGATCGTGTTGGCAGTGAGCCTCCAGCCAAAACAACCACCTTTGTTGTTCAGGAACAGCCTTAAAAGCAACTTCTGGTTTGATCATTGCTCCTGGCAGGACCCTCACCGCCAGCCAAGTCTGGATCTGGACAATGCCTTGTCTCCAGCTCTACTTGTGTCAGACAGGAACAAAGCCAAGCCATCCTGTCCTACAGGACTCCTCGGGGGGAAACAGAGGGAAAGCTACAGACCAAGGGAGAAAACCAGGATCCAGCGTATCCTAAAGGTGAGACAGGTTATCCCAACAAAGGCCAGAATCACATGAATGAAAAGCATAAGGGGAACAAAGAGGGTTGGCACCTACACGGTAACAGGTAACGCAGACGGACCCCCAGGGCTGTGGCTGACCCCCCTTTGCTCACCTTTTTCTCATCTCCTTCTTGCAGGAGCTGGAGGTGGCTCCTCTTCTCACTGTCCTTGCGAAGGGAGCTGTTCTGGTGGTGTGGCAGGCCCGTCGGCGGGGACACGCTCCGGCCCTGGGGGTCCACCCAGGTGTAGATGTGGTTGGTGACATAGCCCCCTGGGATGCGTCCCACCGAATGGACAGACAGGTTCAGCTTCTTGCAGCCTTTCAGTACCTGGAAGACAAGCCAAGGAGAGGATGGAGTTAATGCCTACAGAGGGGAAAGGCCAATCTTAGGACTCTAGGGTAACATGGCTTTGCTCTTCCTTGAGGTTGAAAGATCTCAAGCTACTCTGCAACCATCAACCAAATGACTGAGCCACTTAAAAAGCTAGTGAAAAAGATGGGATTTTTCTATTCTCTCCTGAACTACAACAGTGTAAAAAGGCAAAGCTGCTGCTGCTGACAGAGAAAAGACCCTCTCCTTTTTTTAAAGAGCAGAGCGAAGCAGAGTACGGGAGGCAAGGTGGGTAGCGACGTGCCCAGGAGGAACCCCAGTGTGGGCTGAACCTGAGACTCAGCAGTTTCTGCAGCTTCGGCGAGGAGTCAGAGCAGGACAGGGATCAATGCCGGAGAAGAGCAGCACTGTCGGACCCCACAGCTCGGCCATTAGAAAAGCTCCTGATGCCTTCAGGGGACATTGACAACGCTCCCAGAAATTCAGCCTCTCTTGCCACTTCATTACCAGCTACCTTTCCCAGCACAAGCAGTCAATTAATGAGTACAATAATTAAATATATACACATATTTAAAGCAGCATGCACAGAGATGACCTTGGGACCCAGATAAGGTGATTTGCAATCGCTACTCTGCTCCTCCAGCTTCCACTGTAAAAAGCTGACATAGGCTTTGTAGTAAACTTAAATTAACATATAGGAGTTCTCCCTGGGGACAGCTGATCCCTTCCAAGGCCTCAGGAACATCCACACTCTGTAACTGCTCTCAGAAAAGAGATAGTTTAGATTTTTTTTTTTCCATATATGCATCCTCTTGATGAGCTGTTCCTGCAAGGTCTCCTCTCCCCACTGAGCAGAGAAGTTGCCGAGCAAAGCTCATGACCGGGAAGAACTAACACCGGCAGCTCTTCCGTAAAGAGTAATATCGTCAGTAACGCTGGGCTGGCTGGATCCCAGCTCTGACCTGGCAACACTCCTGGCCCTCCTTGCCAGATCCAGAGAGAATCCAGCTTGCCAGTTCCCAGTTCAGCATCTCCATCACATATAGCAATTTAGCTGCAAATCTGTCATACGCTCCCAAGGTCACCATGTACCTAGAGAGCTTAAACAAGGATTGCGAAACCAACAGCCCCACCAGAACAACCGCAGAGCACTTCAACACCCTGGGCTGCTCACTAACTCCAGCCCCTGTCCCCTCAGTTCCCCTGGTCCCTCAAACACATCGCCTGCTGCCGTCTCTTCTCTCCCCAGGAGCACACGGAGCCCAGCCAGGCTGGCAGACAGGCAGAGGTGCTCACCACACCCCGGTGTTGCTGGCATCAGCCCAACTCTCACTGGGACGACGGAGCTATTTCTGAGCCCGCTGTCCACCCCAGGGTACCACTCTCAAATGGACACCATGGCGTAGGGGCACATCCGTGCTTCAGCGTACAGTTCAGCATCCTGACCCAAAGTCCCTTCATAAGCTGCCACAGAGACAGGCTCAGGATGATCTGAACTCCACAGCAGTGAGTTGGAGGTGGCAGGGAGGCTTCTCACCTACCCTGGAGCAGTGACCCCTATGAGTCAGGGGGTATGTGGGGGTACAGCCCCCCAACCATCCTCCATTCATTCAAACTAGAGCCATCTCTACAAAAATCTCTTTTAAGCCTGCATATCATTGTTGGAGGGATTTTTTACAAGGACTTGTACTGACAGGACATGTGGCAATGGCTTTAAACTGGAAGAGGGAAGGTTTAGATGAGATATCAGGAAGAAATCCTTCCCGGTGAGGGTGGTGAGGCAGTGGCAGAGGTTGCCCAGAGAAGCTGTGGCTGCCCCATCCCTGGGAGTGTTCAAGGCCAGGCTGGATGGGGCTGTGAGCAACCTGGTCTGGTGGGAGGTGTCCCTGCCCATGGCAGGGGCGTTGGAACCAGGTGGGTTTTAAGGTCCCTTCCAACCAAACCATTCTATAATTCTGTGATTTACTTACCTAGGTACCGAGACAGCAAACAGCACTGACAGTCCCATGAGCAAAGTCTCATCTCTGAATGAGGCTGGAACTCCTCACCAAGCACAGGCAAATGGTGAGGACAATCCATGGTTTGCCCAACTGTACAGCATTACAGTCCTCCCTCTGCCACAGAAATGCCATGTGATCCTAACCGATGTTTGCAGTCCCACACTTCTCCCTCTCTAAATGAAAGAGCAAGCTCGGTATTTGCACTGATCCTGGGCATTCCTCACCTGTATGTGTTCATACAATGCCTCAAAGCCAGCTGCTGAATGTCACCATAATTTAAGGAAGGAGGAAAGAAAAAAAACTTCAGAGGTGAGGCCAGGTCAGGAGCACACAGGGGGCCCTCCACGAGCTGCACTCTCCCCTTTCTCCCGACATTCACTGCCACCCCATTCCCACACGGGTCTCTTCAGGACGGATGCAGGGATCCCACTTCCTCAGAGAATCCATCCCGGCAGGGTCGGGGGACCGAAGATAACCCCCTGGGCTTTCTACCACACAGGAGAGACACCAGGCACAGGAGAAGTGACCAGGCACAGGCAGGACCCCCGGTTCCACGCTGGGCACCAGGGACCGTTCAGAGCCTGCCCTGAGGACAGGGCTGTGGCTGAAGGCTGGCAGAGCGCTGGCTGCTCCCGTCCTGCCTCAGCTAAATGTCATCCCCTGACAGAGCAGGAGCAGCAGCAGAGCAGCTCTCTGGAGGCACAGTAAAGTTTCCAGGGACGAGAGGCCAGTGATTTACAAGGGACTTTTTATGTCCCCCTGCAGCTCCCTTGACAAGGCCACCAGGAGATGGGATCTCAGGCAACAGGGAGATGTTTTATGCATGAAGGTGACAGCAGAGAGCCAGGAGGCGAGGAGAGCAGCCGTCTGGCTCCAGGCAGCAGGCTGGGCCAGGGCTCCCCGGCAGCCTCCGTACAAGGAGATGGGAGAGGAGGGAGCGAACAGAAGCTGGCAGTGCCCATCGGTGCCCATCGGGAGGTCGCTGGTGACAGCCCCTCCCAGGAGAAGGCTGGTGACACTCTGTGTAGTCCTTTATGCGTTCCCTGAGGCCTCTCGAGCACCCAGTGAGTGAAGCAGTTTCCTGCCCAGCACAGCATTTCTCCCCCAACACATCCCCACTGCTAATGCTCATTGAAGAGTTAGAGCAGGACTGTAATGTTGCCCCACCAGAGGCCCTCCCTACGCTTAGGAGCCCTTCAGGACACAGCTCTGCTGGCCTCCTGGCCACCTGCACCGGCAGGTGACCTGCCCCTTTTGGGTGATCATGGGTGGGGGAGGACAGTGACACCCACAAAGGTCGGGCTGGGGGGCAGAGTGGGGCCGCCCATGCCGCTCAGCAATGGTGAGCCACTGACACCGACCGCCGTAGCTGAGGATTCCAGTTACCTGCCTGTGTGCTAGGTGCTGAACACACTCAAAGGGATGATGCTTGCCTCAAGAAATGCAAGTGAGAAAGAGCAAGCAGAAAGGCAGGAAAGAGCTCGTCCAAGGTGACCCCACAAACCCTTCAGAAAGTCGGTGAGAGCCCCTCTCTCCTGGCATGGTGTCACATCTGCTCAATGACACTGGCTGTGGCTCGGTCTCCATCCCTCCCCCTGCAACCCTGACCTGCTTCCCTGCCCTGCCTTTTACAAGTCAGGCTGCACCTCTGCCCCCCGCCGCTCCCACCCTGCCCCATTCACAGCCTGCAGCAGACGGGTCCCACCATCCATCCCGGCAGCATCCATCCAGCCGCCGTCCTCTCTCGTTAAACTCACTCTTCCTTGGCTTTATGACCCATGACACAACGAAAGGCCATGACACGAGCAAAACCTTCACCCAACTACAAGCTGGTAGAAGAGCTATAGGCCACCGAGCATCCCCAAGCCACCCAGAACTTGCATGTATATACTGCCATGCAGCTGTCTACACTACGCACAGCTGTATAACACACCATTGCAGGCACCAGAGAGACACACACACACACACACACACGTAGGTAAAAAGCCGCAGTTGTTTAACAGGACACAGCAACACCGTGGGACCATTTAAGAGAGTTAACCAGCTGATTTTTGCTCCTAGAAGATGGTTTCCCACAGCCCTGATTCAAAATGGCCTTCAGGTATGCATTTAAATGAGCAAGCATTTAAGCCTCTGCCTAGAACACGCTTAAGCACAGGCCTGAAACACAGCCAGTGAAGCCCATTGGTAAGCTGTACCTATTGGTAAGCTGAGTCTATTTCTAAGAATAGATTTTTGACTTCTGAGCTTGCATCAATTTCAACAGATTATTTTTATTAATTTTAGGATAAGCCTAGGTTTGTATCAGCTCAGGGGGTAAATCCTTCTCTAACCACAAGCACAAATAGCCTGAGAAATCCCTGCTTTCCACCTCCACTAGACGCTCCGGTAAGCCAAAGCACAGCTCCCGCCAGAGGACGAGGCCGAGCATGAGAGCTGGAGGGTGAGGAGCACAACGCTCGCTCAGCACCACCTGCACCCTCCCTCTGGCCACCACCGTCCTGTCCAAAATCACAGGATGGTCAGTGCAAACCACTTCCCCAGCCCGGTGACCACTAAAGTCAGTTTTGTTCAAACATTCGAGCTTTCAGGAAGCTTTTTGTTCATTAGGCAGCCACCAGCTATTTAAGCTAAAGCCCCGGTGGCTATGAAAGGAGATGAGAAGGGGAGCAGTGTTTTCCCTCAGATAACAGCACCGCATCCATTCCATGATGAAGAGCAGCAGGCATGGGAAGGAGATCTGGCACAGAGCTAAAAAACCCTTGTACATCCACCCACTGAGCTAGACTTTAACAAGGCAGTTGGCATGCAGAGCTGCAAAGTGATGAGGCATCAGGTGAGCCAAACGGGAGAAGCTTCCATCATACATCCAGAGACAGAAATCACGACCAGCTGCTTTGGTGAGCTCCAAGCGAGCAGAGCTACTATCCATTGCCCTGCACGGGAAGAAACGCTGCACTTCCTCCTCTCTTTTTTTTTCCCGGTTTTACCAAGGCT